CGTCACTGGTGCTCTTCTCCTGCCGCAGGTTGCTCAGCATGCTTTCGGAGGGCGGATCCTTCGTCAAGGGCATGGTGATGGGGGGCCTGTTCTGCGCGGTGGTCTCGGTCATCGGGAACTTCAGCGCGGGGCCCCAGCCCTCTCCCGAGCTGCACCTGCACCATCACGTCAAGGCCCCCACCAAGGAGGAGCTCCTGAAGCTGAGCGAGGCCAAGAGGCGGGAGCTGGCCCAGCGAGTCCGCGTGTTCTGCGCCATCTTGGTCCAGCCCAGGTACCTGCAGCAGTGGGTGGCGGCCAAAGAGACCTGGAGCAAGCACTGCGACAAGGCCAAGTTCTACAGCTCGGAGTCGGTGAAGGCGCTGGAGTCCGTGGACCTGGCCGAGAAGGACGACTGGATGAAGATGAGGAAGGCCCTGAAGCATGCCTACGAGCACGGCAAGGAGTACAGCTGGTTCCTGCTGGCCGAGCCCAGCACCTTCACCGTCATCGAGAACCTCAAGTACCTGGTGCTCAACAAGGACCCCGAGCAGCCGTTCTACCTGGGGCGCACGGTGAGGTCCGGCGAGCTGGAGTACGTGGAGTACAACAGCGGGATCGTCCTGAGCGCGGAGGCCCTGCGGCGGCTGCTGGGGGCCTTCGACGACCCCAGCAAGTGCCCCGAGCAGGGCCGCGCCATCTGGAAGGTGAGCGAGGAGAAGGAGCTGGCCGCGTGCCTGAAGTACACGGGCGTGTTTGCGGAGAACGCCGAGGACGCCCAGGGGAGGGAGCTGTTTCACAGGAAGGCCGTGGGCGCGCTCATCGAGGAGGCCCTGGCCCAGAAGTCCGGAGAGACGATCGGCAAGTTGTCGGACCTGGCCATCTCCTTCAGCTCGGTGCCCCCCAATCAGATGCACGTCATGATGTTCGGCGTGTACCGGCTGCGTCCGTACGGGCACACGTTCCACGACTCGCTGATATTTCTGCCTCCAGAGGGCTCCGACAATGACTGAGCGGCGCCAACCTGTGGGGTCACAGGTGAACGGGCCAGACTTCAGCGGAAAAGTTTATTTTTGAATCTAAGTTTATGTATTTATACACGAGACGTACACACATGCCTCATTATTTTATTTTTGGGTTTCTGGGATCACCTCTCTTCTGTAAAAGGGAGGCAGCTTCTGTAAAAAGAAGCAGCTTTAAAATGGAGGGAATTAAGTCTCGGGGATGAATTTAATTTAAACTGGAAAGCAAATTAGATCTTCTGGGTTGTGGTGGGGGTGTTGTACAATGATGTGAGTAAGGGTTTGTGGGCTCAGTGCAGGGCCTCTTCTGCTTGGCGTCTTCTTGGGGATTCTTTTGTGCAGTTTTTGATTTTAGTGTCCTGTTCAGTTTTATTCCATTAACGTATAAGAAAACCTGCCAGAAAGACACCAGTGGGGCACAGTTGATCCACCAATTTATTTATTCCCTTAGCATTTCAGCAGGGTGTTCCTTTGTTCCTCCTGCTGCGCTTTGCCAGAGTAGCTGTGCAGTGTGGCGAAGTGTGGAAAGAGACTGGCTTGTGATCCATACTCAAGAGAGATGAGGCAGATTCACAGGAAAGAGAACTTCACAGCTGCCTCTTGGGTTTTGGAACGTTCCAGCTCCTCAAGGAGTTTGCCGTGTTTTCACTTAGCTTTCCTGTGATTTTGATGATCTTTGCTAAACATTCTGTTTGCTTTGGCTGTCCTGCACTGCAATTTATGAAGCACCTGATTCTCAAGAAATACATGGCCTGTAGATTTAATTCTGACGCCCTTTAGCTGTGGAAGAAGGGCTTCAGATTGAGCCCTCATGCCTCACATTTGCACGTGTTGCAGGTTCCTACTGGATAAAATTCCATGATTCTAGAAACAAAATGCACAGTGAATCCTTACTTGTTCACTTAAGCCTCCAGCAGGGTTGCAGGGGCTACTGGGGTGCGGAGGGACATCAAGTCATGACTTGGAATTGTACCATTTTATCTTAACCAGTCATGAGCACTGGAGTACCAGACTCTCTTGGAGAAAGAAAAGTTTTTTTTTTTTTTAGCATTAAAAGCAAAACCAAATGCAGCAGCTTTAGAAACTGAGCATGCTTGGAATGTCAAGTGGGAGTGTTTTCTAATTCAGAGGTCCTGTAGAGCCGGAGTGTCCAGTCCTGGTGCTGGAGGGCCAGCGTGTCTGCAGGTATCTGGTCTCTAATGCCATGGTGCCTGTAGAGCTGGGGCCAGCTGCTCAATGGTTCCAGCTGAGCTCGGCTGGAAAGAGAATCTGCAGACACACTGTCTGCCCGGGGCTGGCTGGGTCACTCCGGCTTCAGAGTATTGCACACCTCAAGAGTGACAACACTTCTTGTGCCTTGTGGTTATTGCAGTCGGGTACTGAGGATACTTCAAGGTACTGGAGAAAAGTAGACCTTTTATTGTTTAATATTCCGCTCTGCCACGCCACCCACATTTCCTGTCCTTTTTGTGCAATAGTATTGGGCTGGGGAGGTCGGACCTGGAACTGAAAGAGTGTGTAGAGACACTTCAGCACACAGCCTGTGGCAGAGAATTGTGCAGCTGTGTCCTCAGGAGCTCTGAGCTACTGTGCACCAGGACGTTAGACCAGACTGGCACCGAAGGTTTATCTTGGGATGTTCCTGATGCTGTTGCTGGAAAAACAGTGCAGAACGCTTCTCCTAACTTGCACTTGAAGTCGTGTTTATTTTAGAGCAGGATCTTATCCCAGAAAGGAAAGAGTTCCTCCTGCAGTTTTGGTCAAGTCATGCATGTTGCAGGCAGTAGGAGCTTGCGCTGAGTGTGCACTGTGTGAGCTGGATTCGAACCTGTGCACCCCATCTGCAGCTCTGTTCTCCAAGTACGCTCTGCCGTTGGCTGACCCCGAGCCCATGAACACGCGGCAGGTGAACGGTGCGGCACTGGAACGGTATTGGAGGATGCAGAAAGGGACTCTTCTACAATATCATGACCAAAAGACAGCGGAACACGGTGTCTTCTCTTCACCTCGCCGTCGGCCGTTGCCCGTGAGTGGAGGGGAAAGTCGATTCCCTCCTACTGTCCCATCATCAGAAAGCCACTTGCTCCTGGTCCGGATCAGGGCATCCCAGGACATGTCTCACCTTGCGCCCTGTGCTTCTGGGACTAGCTTGTGGAAGAGGAGCCAGGCCAGAGCAGGGGGGATGCACACAGGGAGCCTTTTGGGACGCCAGGTAACCTAGCCACCAGGTGCTTGGGAGGTGGGAAGACACACTTGGAGAATTCCCTGCCTCCAAACGGAATCGAACACGAGATCAAAGAGCTTTGAGGCCACAGTGCCACTCTGCCTGCTGCCTGGAAGTCATTGAATTTTTTGTACAATACGATGCTTGTTAAAACAATCTGTACTGATGTGAATGAGCAATGATGTTGATCGATAAGCAGAAGAGCAGCAGTTGTGATCTTTGCAATGTGCTGCATTTTGCTAAACTGTCCATTAAAGAACACAGACATATGTTGGTTTTTAGCGAACATTGTGACAATGTGAAGTTGTGAACATCGGGCTTTCACATACGTAATTATGGTTAAATAATTGAGTGTACTGCATACCAGGTTACAGGTACGAATTCCGGCATGTCCATTTTGAGTGTTAAAATGAAAAGCCAGGTTTAGTTTGGATTCTGTTACTATATCATGCTATCAGTTCTCTGGACCCTTTCACTGAGGAAAAAATAACATTCTATAGATGTATGTCTACAAAAAATATATTTAATACATATCAATGTCCCACTGAATCAGCAATACACCTGTATCATTTTAAGTCTCATCCATAGTACGATAACATTTTTCTGTTGTATAATACAACATATTTGTGACACTATGCTCAGCTTTTCTAACATTTTGAAAGTAAGACCAAGACATTTTCCTGTAATTTTCATGTCTTAAGAACAGCTGCCCTCATCTTAAAAGTCCTGAAGCATATTTGTGTATATTTTTTTACTGACATTTGACTTGCTGCACAAAGTCTCTAAGACTTTTTGAAGTCTAGCTTTATTGAAAAAGGAAGGAATATCTTATCTTAATTGGACGTGAGCTCTATTAAAATGTTTCGTAAGTTGTAAAATAAACCTGATATTACTGTTAAATAAATATTTTTGCATAAGACATACTTTTCTACTAGCTTTTTGGATAAATGAAAATACAAAGTCAAGATTCTCTGGACTGTTTGTAGTTTGTCAATGTACGTCTGTGACTGAATATTGCTGTAAATAAAACAAAAAGTGATTTCAAAACTGATTTGAATATGAAACATTAAAAATGTTTGGTTTTTACTTGCTTAAACATTGAGAACTTGTGCTGGTTTTCATTTTGTTCAGGTTTAAGTCCGATTTAATCCAGTTTCTGTACAATCCTCAGGCAATAAAAACCAACAGACAGTTCATGCCTTATAACTTACACATGGTAAACGAGCTTTAGCACAGCTGGCTCTCCACTGCCAGAGCTAGGCCTTAATACTTGTCCAGCTGTCTTTACATGCACAGCATAGTGCTGGAGGCTTGGCCAATAATTCATTTCAGTCATTCTGATTTGAATTGAAGCCAGTCAGTTAAAGTTTCCAGTAACTGCAACAATTAACCAACACAACACACAACGGCAATTGTTAAGTCCTATAAGCCTTGTAAAAGCTGAGTCTGGCAAATAATTAACTCAAGACTGCATTTATTTTAAGCAACCTTAAACGGTATCCACATCAATAATCGCCCCTCTTTCCTGACAAAGAAGTAGAGCATGGAAGAACACCTCAAAAGAGAAAAAGCATACAAAGCTATTTTATTGTGCAACATCATGAAAGCAAGGTTTTTCAAAGGTTTAACAATCCATCCCTATAGACTGTACATCATCGTGGACTGTAGGACATCCTCTGGTGTTCCAGGCACTCTCTGTTCACTAACACACAGCCCACAGGTGAGTTTCACTTGTATGTCTTCATGTGCCACAGCCCGTCGTTAAGGTAATGGATATTTTCAATCCCTATACCCTTGTTCACTTTCTCACTGCAGAGAAAAGAGAAGAAAAAATGCAGCTTTTCGAAACAGAATCACAACACATGCAGAGGCAAGACAGACTAGAAAAAAAGAAGATAAAAGACTAAGTATCTAGGACTTGCAGTGTCAGGAAAATACGGCGTTTCTTACTTTTTCCAAAACTTGCTTCAGAGTCACTAACTCAGACTCCAAGTTAAAACGGACAGCTGTATTTCACTCTACCTCAGACAGCACTATTGTAAAATACGTAGGCGTGATTATCATTTATGCTCCCTTGCTTTGTGTAATGTGAGATGTCAAAGCAATAACGACTGTGAGGAAGAGATCAGCGATCCCGACTACTGGAATTGCTGCCTTCCTGGTGCAGAATCCTTTCAAATTCCAGCTGATCTCACACAGCACGTCTGCCTGTAGACCCTAGCCTGCTGTTGCCTGTGCTCGCTCCAACAGCGAGCAACCATGGGGTTAATACCTGACTGGTCGACTTCCACCTCAGACGAGGTGTCTTAAGAGTTGCTGCTTCATCCAGTTAAAATTAAAACACCACATTCCAACCAGGATGAATGAGCACCTGCAGTGGCACCCACCTGCACGCACACATGAGCGCCCTCGTATTCGTTTTCTGATGGTGAAGCTATCTGGTATGCAACCCAGAATCCTGTAATTGTTATCTCATAGGAAAACATGGCCCAGAGAAGCCTACGAAAAGCATGCCACTGGGATACAAGGAAAACTCCAATGAAATCTCGGTTAAATGTAAGTGAATTAGGTTGAGTACTTACATGTTATCAGCCGACATTTTCATCACTCCAACACAGAGGGCATGTTGCTTTCCTTCTGCCATTATAGCCTACATACCTCACTTAAGGAAACCACAGACATTGCAGTAACCAGGTACAAGCTACACCACGATGCATTCCTTTTTAACCTGCTGTGCTTTGTTCTTGCTCTTTCATGCCCTACCCTGAAGTGACCAAGGCAGGGATTCTAAAAACAGGTTTTCCCGCTTGTCTGAGATTGGCCTGGCAGGTTAGAAAGAACATGTTGGTAAATCAGTAGCCAATGTACAAAATAAAACAAAAAAAAAAGTGCTTTCAATTGATGTCGAACACCTAAAAATAATAATTACACTAACTTCTGGCTTTACAAAACCGTCTCCTTTTCTTCTGTCAAAATTGTGTATATCCATAAAAAACACCCCAATAAAGAATCAGAATAAATATAAAAAACACACAAGAATAAGTGGTGATCCGAATAACAGATGTATGAGAAGTTAAGCTCAAGGTTTACAGGACTGGATATGTAAGAGTTTTTATATTGGCAACTTTTAAGCATTTTTATCCTCCTGATAAATTTGTGAGCTGAAACAAAGCAGGGATTCCAGTCTGCTCCCGTTGTGCTCTAGCTATGTACTTTGTCCAGGAGGTTGGTGGTGTTGGAGCCTCGAGTGGTTTGCCATCACTGTTCGCTCACTCTGCAAACCCCCGGGTCTATGTCCTGTACTGGCTTCAAGGATCCGCCACAGAGTGCCGGGCCAAGGGCACAGTCAGGGACAGGTGGGAATACAGGCCCCTTCTTTCTGATCGGGCACTATTTCCATTATGTAGGACACAACTCTCCAAGGATACAACTACCTTGTCAGCTTCTGCAGGGTACAGCTTGGCTCCAGGGGACGTCAGCCCTGGGCACATGATGTTGGCTCCGCTCAGGACAAATTTAATGGCTCCTTTATCTACTTGCTGGTGTGGAAGAATAAAGGGATCTAAGAGAGCAAGGTAAACACAAAAGCACTCAGGTTAATATCCTCCACCCAGCAGTCAAATATGTAATTTGATGAAGGATGAGAAAAACAAACTATGGATCTTGTTTGCTACCATGAGATTAACTGACTATAGACCATTTCATTCAATATTATTTATCCATTCATTTTCGAACTGCTTCTTCCAATTCAGGGTGGTGGGGGAGCCAGAGCCTATCCCAGCCAGCCATGACTGCTGGGCAGGATACAGCCTGGGCAGGACGCCAGTCCATCTCAGGGCACTCACAGACACAAACGCAGACGCGTACTCCCACCAGGGCCCAGCGCTGTGATGCTACCCATAAATTCCAACCACTGCGCCACCATGCCACCCATGAAATACTTATATTAAATAGAAACAACATTGGATATAAAGACGAAACAGGAAGGAATGAAGAGAACAAGTAGGAAACGCATCACTGTCAGGAACACTTAAAGATCACAAAAAAGTCATGAAAGAGCAGACTGACTGAAAATGCAGAATTAAGAGCCACGTTCAAATCTTCAGTCTTCTCACCCTACATACAGCTCTGGAACTGCTCTGCTATCACATTACAAACAAACAACACCGGCCGTTTTCCTCTGAAGCCGTGAGAAAAGGAGCAGCCAAGAGCTTACATTTATGAAGCAGTCTCAGTGTGGGGTAGAACGGGCCCTCTCTCTGCCTGAAGAACAGCAGCTCCCCGTTCACAGTCAGGATTTCAATGTGCTCGTGGCTGCAAACGATCGAAACACCAAGTTCACGCAGCTGCACCCCACAAAGCGTCCCCTCATCGATCCGCACTGGTGCGGCCGGGTCCACGGCGCCCCTACGGCGCTCTCTTCCAACTGCTCACAGCCTGCTCGGTTCTCAGGCCTGCGAGTCTGCCTTCACGCTGGCAAGAGAGCTCCTGCAGCTGGCTGTGTCGGGGCAGGGAGTGCCATGGGGCAGGGGGCCTGCAGCCTCACAGACACCCTGAGAGAGAACTGGGCTGGGCACATAACTGCCAAGTCCACAGACCCGTCAGAGTGTGAGCAATTAAAAGAAAACCCGCATGCCTTTATTGGGTTTGCAGATGTGCTAACCTGCAGTAAGCAATACCTCTTTGCCTTCTGAAGCCTTCCCTGCATGATCCTTAAGCAAACTTTCAGTTCCCTTTCAAAACAGCAGAAGGCAACTAGGCTTTCTGCTTATCAGGCGTTGTCAGTCTAAGACAGATATATTACAGAAGTCACAGACAGCCAATCTTAATCTAAAAGGTGGTAAAACCTGTTTCTTTATCTCTTCCCCATGTTAGCTAAGATGCCCAAATCTGCTGGTTCTAGAGAGAATTAGACCACAATGAACACAGGGGTTCTCAGGTATGCGGATTACCATCGGACGATTTTGACAGGATCTTTTTTCGGCATGATCTGATTAAGCCATGAATCGATGTCAGGAAACTGCTCCAACAGCTGGTTCTTTATGCCTTTGATGACAGACGTCTTCAGCTGAATGCAATTGGAAACATTTTCCTTCTCGTCAAACCTGGAATGAGATTACAAAGAGGGGTTCAAAGCTGTGCGGTAAAATATGGGGGTAAGTGGCTCTACATCAGGAGGGCAAACCGCACCTTCTCAAGTCCCGGGGTAGCCTAGCTTGGAGAGTTGGATCTATGTAACATTAAAGTCTTATTTTGTTTTAAGAAAACAAGAATCCTGTATGACGGTAATAGAAAGCTGAGATAAAATGGATTTAAACAAAATATACTGTCTTCCTTAGAAACTCCCGTGCTTTGAAATGCGAGAAAAGATTTAGTCTCATCATAACACAAAAACATATGTAATTCAAGAAAATCTACTACAATGTAACACGTAACAGCGCATAGACAGAAGACTTTTACATATTTTTAAAAACACTACATAGGTGCAAGACAGTATTTTAAAAAAAGAACACTTGAAAGGCATAGAGACTATTATTAAAATGTTTCTGGACGTCACTGGCTCAGACCAACGGCTGCAAATTGAGACACAGACAAATCACTGCCAAAGAAACAAAACACCCAACTTTTTAAACATCCTCGGTCGTCACCCCTGCTGAATAAGCGAATTCTAACTGAAGCTCCTGGGCACGCAGTCTTCAGTAAATCATGTAAGTATAATTCAGTCTCCACGCTTGTTCTCAGTGTACCGCACACACAAGCTCTTCACGATTTTTACAGCAGAAGAGCTACGACTGCGCGACAGCGTCGATCGGTTTACGGCACCCGGCTTCTACCATAGAGTTCAGTTTCGGTTTCTAGAGGGATTTCCTTTTAGGGCATGTGTTCCTGTCTCACACCTCTTGTCCAGAGTTGGATCCCGCCGTGGGAGTCGTTTGTGTTGAAGTCTGTATGTTATCAACCCCTTGGCTATTAGTGAGTGCGTTTGTTTGGTTTCAGTAGCCCGAAGACATGCTGTCTGACACTTATTTAAAGTGTCTTGCGTCGGCGATGCGATGCACTGGGGTCCAGTCCGGTCTGTATCCTGCCTTGCAGGAAAATGTCTGGATGAATCCTGTATAATTAATCAAAGACTGAAACATTACAAAATACATACACAACTAATCAAACTATAATACAACCTACGTTATAGCAGCTCCGGTCGCAGAGCTAAGAGCAAACTAAGTACACTGGACAAAAGCGTCTAGCATGTATACCCTGTATTTTATTTATGTAAATACTTTTCAAAAATGATTTTTTTTTTTATCTGGTAAACAACATGCTATTGAGAAGTTGTGTGGTTGGTCTGCTCATTGTGCTGCTGAGAACTAATTTGCACTTATCTAATGATAGTAACCAACCTCTCTTTGTCCTGTTCTCCATTTGTGCCTTACCCACGGACTATCTTTTCGCCTATCATATGGTTCAAATGTGGTGTCATTTCTGCTTCAACGTCATAATTACAATTACAAAAACAAGGAATGTTTGCCTTTACATGCCAAATCCAGTACATATTCGACACAAGCAGAAGCGTGAAATGAGGTTTAAGACACATTTAACATTTTTCTCTGGGTTTGGTTCCGGCCTTGTGCACCTCCTGTGTGAAGTTTACATGTTCCTCCTGTGCCTGGATTTCTTCGACAACGCCGGTTTCCTCCCACCTTTTAAAATCCTTCGGTCCAGCTTACTGGTTTCTCTTAGCGATCACAGCGTGTTTGTGTCAGGCGATAGGCTGGCACCCTCTCAAAAAGAGCAGTCTTTCTTTAACACCCTGTCCTTCCGGAAAGGGATCCGCATTTCTTCGAGTCTGCGACACCTCCCAGGAATAATCTTGCCAAGACTGTTTTTATAATGAATGGATGTGCGAAACGTGTCTTGGTATTGAATAGCAGCAGAAAAAGGAATGAAATAAGGACTATACAATTTTTTTATTAATATTTCTTCCTTATAATAAAGACTTTTATTATAACGAAACCTTACTGAGTAAAGATGAATCAGGGGTAGCTAAGATATATATATATATTTTTGGGTAGCTGAGTTATTTAACCTAGCCCTAACCTCTCTGGTTATGCAATTAAGTTCATGTTCCACGTCATAATGGTTATGTACATTAACTTGTAACCTTTTCTTTTTTAGATTAAACGTGATCAAATAATAGCTTTTAAAATATAATACTAACCCGAAGGTGTTTTTTTTTCTCTTAAAAAGAAAACTTGAATCGAAACTTCAACTAGTTCAGACTGTCAGGGCGCCACCTGGGGGCTAAAGTCCAGAATACAAGTGGCCACTTTTCCCCCCGATGCTTGCGATGAAAGACGGAAGTACTTCCGGTAGGTCAAGCTATGGTTATACTTGATTATAAGTTGGTATTCAGATGTGGGGCACATTAATCTCGAGAATACTACAGTCTCCAGGGATAGTCTAGGCTTCTGTGGCAGAAAACTCGACCATGGGGTTAAAAACGTTTTTCAGTCCGTGGAGTTCAAGTGCGCCCCGGAGGAAGTAGTTTCCAGCCATCTTTTTTTTTGCCAATAACAAGAAAGAGGATCTAAGAGTGGAGCAGTAGTCTCATTTTATTGTCTGTTTTCAATTAAAAAGAGACGAGAACGTGTGAAATAAGAGGAGTCGAAGCTCAAAGACACACGGAGCGTCAACGTCAAACCTGAAGGCTCTTAGGATTAACAGACTGGCTATTTGATTTTGTAATTTTTTTCATGTTTCCAACAGGTTTATCTACCCCTAATCCCCCACCGCCAGCTCAGGAGGTTAGACCAGCAGCTTCTGATGGTAATAACGGTAGCAGCAATAATTCAACGTCCAAAAAGAGAAAAATAAACAGCTCCGAAAAGGAAGACTTTGATTCCCTGTCTTCGTCTCCTCCCAAAAACATCAGTGCGTCCTGCTCCTCCGGGTCTCCCACCTCTCACCACATACAAAAGAAACTGAGGTTCGAGGACTCCGTGGATTTCATTGGGCTGAATGTGAAAATGGCTGAGGAGTCATCTTCATCATCTGCATCGTCCAGTAACAAGGCAAAAAACGCCTTTCTGGCCGCCGGGGTCGGACACCACGCTAACGGACTGACCAAAACCTCGACCGGTTCCGCCACCTTCTCCAACAGTAAACCCGGAGCTGCCAAGAAACTAGTGATCAAGAACTTCAAAGGTAACCTTCCTGCACGCCGGCCGCTGCCAACTCGCTGTCCCCTCTCCCCCAGGCCGAACCGTGCGATGACGAGCGGTGCTTGGCTCAAAGTCGGTGGAAGTTTGAATTACGGCATTTAATCATCACCAGTCTTACGTACTGAGGTGTTATTTAGATCTTTTAAGTGTTTCTCCTCTCTAAATGCGTCCATTGGTCGTGGTGTAATTAAGAGCATCGGCAGATTTAAACAGGTTTGGGCTGCTACTGCTCCAGTGTTGTGAAGGTTCGATTACCTGTGTAAAACCTCAGAGGTGTTTTGCTCAGATGTTTGTTCCTATGAAAGCCTTCTGTTGATGCCAGATAGGCAGCCTTTACTCTAACGTTGTAAAGCATAGTTGTAGGAACCTGAGTAGAGTGAGCACGGGGCTCCCTAGCCTTTTAAATGGCTCGTTCTTAACGCTGTCAGTCATGGCAGACTTGCCTCAGTGAAACTACTACAGACTCGTACAGAATTCACTACAGTACAGCTCTGTGGATGCCTATAGCCATATTAATGAAGCAGGCAGGTAAAGTGCACTATTTTTCAAGTCCTCTCCTGCTTTTTCAAGATCACAGTCTGTATCGTTGTCTTTCCCTTTAGCGGAGAATTGAGCTCAGGGGCTCTGTTCCACATGCTGTATGCCTGTTAGGCGTGTTGCCGCTGTTGTCATTTACTTGCACTCACCTCATTCTGCGAGGCCACGTGTTGGGGAGCTGTAAATGAATGGCGAGCACCCCAGCACCACCCCGCACACTGACCTCAAGAAACCTCTCCATTGCGATCCTCCTCTTTTGCAGAAAAGCCCAAATTGCCAGAAAACTATACCAACGAAACCTGGCAGAAACTGAAGGGGGCAGTGGAGGCCATTCAGAACAGCACTTCAATCAAGTATAACCTAGAGGAGCTCTACCAGGTATGACAAACAGACTTTGTCCATTCCTGCTGCGGGCTGGTTGTGCAAGGAAGCCCGAGGCTTTGTGTCATTCGAACGACTGGGTTTAATTCATGTCTGTTCTCCTGGCTGCAAGGGCCATGCGTGTCGGTAAACTGTTTCCTTTGATTCCATTTCTTAGAGCATTAACACTAATCGCTGGTAACTGCTGGGGTCTGGCTGCCCTTGATCGGGACCAGCATAATCAGATTGCCCCAATTAAACAGGAAATTAACATAAAACTGCAGCCAGTTGCTGTCGTCTAGCACATCAGTAGTACAAGTAAAGGGGTTGTGGATGTTATAGATTAAAGAGCAAATTGTTTTCGGCTTTCACTGTGACCTATTCACTGTCCATTGAGAATGCAGACATCTTTGGTGTTTTTACTGAATTTATACATGGGATACAGGACTGTTGCTTTTTATATAATCTACTGAAGTTGGATGTGTAATCATTCTGTTGAATGAAATGGCTTGTATTTTGAAACTGGAATTGCTGATGGGAAGAGGCTGTTTTGTAGCCCTTAATGCATTTTTAGTAAGTTTTTGTTTCATGGAATGGTTGTGTGCATGTTTTTTGGATTAGAGACTTTTAAATTCATAGGATTGCTTATGTACAGAGTATGGTGTTACTGTGCAGTTGACTTGTGAATTATTATGAAATGAGATGGTTTGCTTTTAAAGACACCATATTCAATAATAAAGTGAAGGGCACCATATTCAGTGATAACAGGCTGTAGGTTGTATAAAAAGCTCATATCACAGTAGAAAAAAACAAAAATGTAGAGGATAAAACCATCGTGCGAAAAAGACATTCTACAAGCACCCAAAGTCCTGATTTCTGCTAGGATGATGTTCCAAGCTGCCCTGGAGCATAGCAACAAAAAAGTTTGTTGATCATAAAAGTGTAGATGAGCTGTGGGAACACAGTGAGACAGAGTCACCTGAGCAAAGAAATCGATACCATGTTTGCTAGATAAGGAGGAGCCATAACCTAAAGCCTTGAACGAAAGCAGACAGATTTTAAAATTGACTTGAAATGTGACAGGCAACCTGTGCACGGCTCCAGAATAGGAGTGATGTGATCACTTGCCTATGACCTCTTTAGGGTACTAGCTGCCAAATTCTGAATTTTCGTGCTGCTTATATCCATTTTATCTGAGAATGTGACCTCAAGAAATCTCACTATTGCAAGATATAAATGTGTAAACTGTATATACTCAAAATAACTTACTGCAAAAGCTGTGTGAATGCATGATTAAATTTGTTTCATAGAGTGCTTTTTGTATGCTCACCAATAATGTGAGTGAAATGGGTTTTTTTGTTGCTTGGGGACTGGATCAGTTTTATAGGTTCAGTCATTTATTTTAGGCTAATGTAGTTTTTTGATGCTTTGATTTGGTTTATTTCATGAGAGTTTTATCTAGTTTTATCCAGTGACTTCCTGTTGTGCTTTCGAAGTCCTGTTCATTTTATTGTTATATTTGCCACCAATGGGTTTTGAATGAATTATGTAATGAGCCAATATTAGACTTCTATTTGATGTGCTGCACATTTGAACTGGGGTGGATTTTTAAAATGTTTTTTTAACTGTTTTTCTCTAATTCAGGCTGTTGAAAATCTCTGCTCCCATAAAATTTCTGCAAATCTTTATAAGCAGTTGAGGGTAGTGTGTGAAGACCACATTAAGGCACAGATCCATCAGTTCAGAGAATATCCTTTACAATGGGCAAGATTGCCCTCTTAACTTTTTTTCTTTCTTTCACTGAAGCGTCAATTTTATCACTGTACACTTATGAAAGTACCTCTCTTTCTCCTTGGAGGCAAAGTGTTTATGAACGGTAAAAAGAATTTGCAAAGATTTGGTTGAGCATTAAATTTATTTTTTTATGCTGGAATTGAATCGTTTAATATGTTTCAGAATGGTTACTACTCTTGCCGTAGTTTTAAATTAGTGACATCCAGCGACATCCCTGAAACATTTTTCCCTGGATCATTTCGTGGATATTTTATAATAAATGGGTTGTCTTCAAGTACTCCTGGAGGTACTGCACCATGCTTTGCTATGCTGTTAATCATGCTGTCAGATAATATAAGCATTCTAGCTCTATAGTGTCTCTAAGGATGTCCTCGACCAAGATCCCTTCCTTAACTCAGCCGTGCACGGATGCTCTGGACAGCGTCCTCTTCCTAAAGAAGATCGATAAGTGCTGGCAGGATCACTGCAGACAAATGGTAAGACTAACACATTAAACCAAGGAAGATCTCTGCCTTTGCTAGCTGCAGACATCAACGGTTATATAACACAGTGATTCATAATTTGACTAATTTTGAATATGCAGTTGTGTAAAGTTTAATAAACCCCTCAGTACGTCTTCAAAGATATCACGTTGTTCTACTGTTAAGTCATGAATTTCCCAGTGGTTTGCATATTAAAAAATGCATGCAAAGGATGTTGAAATGTATACAGTATTGTTGTCACTTATTGAACAAGACACTTCCTTATTTTTAGCCTTTGCCAATGTTAATAATTGTTTTTTACAGATCATGATTAGAAGTATATTCCTATTTCTGGATCGAACATATGTTTTACAAAATTCAATGCTGCCATCCATCTGGTAAGTTATCTTAATTAACTTTTTTTTTGTCTGGAACATGTTAAGTAGTGTATTCTTAATCATTTTGCCATTAAAACAGAATAAGTATTCAGTATTCTTGTTCAGATTACCCTCTGATCTTTCTCTAACAAAATGTTTATACTGTATAAGAAAAACATTTTGTTAGCAATGAGCATTTCAGTGTTTTAAACCAAGGATTTAAATCTGTCCCCGTCTGACATTTTTAAGTGTCTTGATCTTTACCTTGATAGAAACTGAAGCCTTTTATGTTTTTTTCTTGAATGTCCAGAATTTCTTGAAAAGTCGTTAATTTTCATAGAGGATTGACTCTCTTCCCTTGTCTTGTATTCAGCAGGAAAGTGGTTGAAACTGCAGACAACTTATTCATTTTTGTTTTTATAAATTGCATTGCAGTTTACTCCTACACTCTTGTGAATAAGACAAAAGTCAATAGAATTTATCAATAATGTGTTGTGTCAGGCTTAACAGCTGTGAAAAGGATAAATTCCCTTTTAGCAGTTTCCTGGTCCGTTTGATCTTTGCTGAACTTTGTCTCCATGTTGTTCCAGGGATATGGGTCTGGAGCTGTTCAGGTCCTACATAATTAGTGATCAGAAGGTCCAGAACAAGACGATCGATGGCATCCTGCTGTTGATTGAGAGAGAGCGAAATGGGGAGGCCATCGACCGGAGTTTGCTTCGGAGCCTCCTGAGCATGCTGTCGGATTTGCAGGCAAGTCTTCTGCAAGACTGAAATCCTAGGAATTCTCATCGTCTTAAAATCTTCCTCATTTAAAAAAAAACAGCTCTTTAAAATGACACCGTTTCTTCATTATATTCAAATCTACCAGAAGAGACCATTTCAAAATTAAAAATGCCTTTGATGCAAGTATGAAAAACCACTTAAAGGATTTACGACTGAGTTTTGTGCCGTCATTTTGTATATTCCTAATTTACTGCAGACTTAATTATTTTTGCAGAAGAAAAGAAAACATTTATTTTACACTGCAGGGAATAAATCTGTAGATTTGAAAATAACCTATTAAGTCTGTTTTTATAGTTGCACTAACCGAAGTATGGCTGATTTCTTTTAGCTATGCCTTCAGCTTATACCCATTTCACATGAACTGGCATACCTTTTGTTCTGCAACAGATTTATCAAGACTCATTTGAGCAGCGGTTTTTGGAAGAGACTAACCGCCTGTATGCTGCTGAAGGACAGAGACTGATGCAAGAAAGAGAGGTAACTTGCACTTTTTTAAGGGACGCAAACTCTTCAACTCTGTTTACATGTAGCTTTTTCTAATTGCTTTTATGCGTGTCCCAGATTGTTTTATAAAACCATTAAAACATTTAATGCACTATGTTTTTTAGCCTTTTTGTTTAATGCAGTGGTGATGATTCAAAATGAAACCTGCTGTGACTGTTGGGTATCGGTGACCTTGCTTTACTCTTGCTTCTTTTTTTATAAAGAGGATTTATACATAGACTGTAAGTTTATTAAATAAGGCTACCAAATAAAAAAAAAAACGCACTATTGGCTTCGGGGTATTTTGAGAGAGGGCTGATCCTGTAGTTCCAGATTCATAGCAGCTGTCCTGTCCAGCGTGATTTATCGCGGTCAGAGGTTCTGCAGGTGGCCAGCATGTGTGGATACAAGGAAAGACCCGTGGATTTGCTGGGTATTTATTTTGGATGGATATGTGATTATTGAGAAGGTCAATTCCTGGTCATCGGCGTAGCTGCCTACTTGTGTTTGCTTCGGGGGTTAAAGATCTGTGGATTAAAGTAGGACAGGGAGAAAGCAATTACTGTGTCGTGCTGTGAATCTGACTTTTCTAAGAAGATCTTGGTGCTCCAGATTGGCTTGCCTTCGGTGCTGAGTCCCTCCATGTCAGTGTGGGTTTTCTGTGCTGTTCGGGCTTCCTCACACATGCCCAAGCTTGCAGTGGAGTGAGGTCCAGCCAGGGTTTAGTCCTCCATCGCACCCTGAGCCTGCCAGGTCCGTCTTCAGCTTCACCGTCTACAGATAGAGGGGTTTTTGAACACGATATTATGGCTGATGGTGCTGCGATGGAGATAAACAGTCAGAGTTGGGGGAATAAATGAAGTTCTCAGTGAATCAAAACTGTTTTTGTACTTTAGTAGTAAATTTAAGAAAAAGAAAATCCTCTGTCGCTACTCTTTGTCATCGGAGGTCTTGGCGAGAAGCAGGACTCGTTTCTTTTTCGGGGGACACAGACGGGAAGAAGCTACATGGGTGGGCTGTGGTCTTGCTGAGGACTGAGCTTTCTCGTTTCAGGTCCCCGAGTACCTTCACCATGTAAATAAGCGTTTAGAAGAGGAGGCGGACAGAGTTATCACGTATTTAGACCAGAGCACACAGTAAGTCCCGGCTTACCTCCTGAAGTTCAGGTGGAATCTCAGGGGATAAAATTTTAACAAGCTGTCAAGGTACAAACTGTTCTTCATTATCACTGGTGTGAACTCGGACTGCTTTCTTTTTGCGACGTTGCACATGGCAAAATATTCATAATGTCACGAAGATATGCTCAAAATATATTGATGAGTTTTGTTGGCTGCGTATTCCTGCCATTAAAGAATCTTGTCTTCTTAGGGTCTTAGTATTAAAGCGTTCTTTATTAGACCTTAACATCATTGACATCCACATGCAGGACTCGTTTAAATTATTTTACAATTTATTATAAATTACAAGGAATGTATGAATTGACTGATAAAAGGCAGAGATGTCTTGGTTAAGCAGTGGATTAGAAACGAAGCACAGATGATGCTATCTTCCCCCCAGCTTTGATTTTCACTTTTTGGCCTTCCTCTTTGTGTGTTATTGGAGGTAGAGGAGAGAAGCAAGACTCGTTTCTTCTTGGGGGGCAAAGAGACAGGAAGCAGCTACATGGGTGACTTGTGGTCTTGCCCCTCTGTATGAAGTCCTCTCTTCTGTTTTTCTAGAAAACCCCTTATAGCCACTGTGGAAAAGCAGCTACTAGGTGAACATCTAACAGCCACCCTTCAGAAAGGTATGCCTCTTTTCTAAATTAATGAAATGATGTCTTATTGTCCAGCTACTGTGTGTTTCAATGCAGAAAGGGGTGTCGTGGGAGGTTGCATCCAATTGCAGGGGGGGAAACTCTCATTTGAAAACTTTGTTAAATCAGGACAGACTTCCCAGCTGGGAGGAACAAGACCCCCCCTGTGTTGGAAAGAAAATCCTCTGGGTTTTAAAGCAGCGTTTTGTTTCCTGCCCCTCCCCGTGTTCCCACCAGGCCTGAACCACCTCCTGGACGAGAATCGGATCCAGGACCTGTCGCTGCTCTACCAGCTCTTCAGCCGGGTGCGCGGAGGCGTGCAGGTCCTGCTGCAGCACTGGATCGAGTACATCAAGGTCTGCTGCAGGGCTGCCCGCGCGGCACTCCTGCTGTCTGCTGTGGCGGCTTTCTTACAACGTCTGGCCCCTCTTAGGAGCACGGGGTCAAAGGGCGCGCAGGCCATTTGGGCCCTCGTTGCCGGTTTTGGTTTCTAGATTCCTGTCAGTTTGTCGTTTCTATAAAGGGAGAACACTTGGAACAGTGGATTAAAGTAAGATGGGGGAGAAAGCAATGACTTTGTCACACTGTTCATCTTAAGAATCATGGTGCTCCACACTGGAGCCCCTTTTGTGCATTATCTGCATGTTCTCTCCATGTTTGTGTGGGTTTTCTTCCTCCCACATGCTGACCAGGTTAATTGGCCTTTTTTTAATTGCCCCAGTATAAGTGTGAGTGTGACCTGCAGTGGGGGGGGGGGCGTCCAGTCAGGGTTTAGTCCTCTATCGCACCCTGAGCCTGTCGGGTCCGTCTCCGGCTCCGGCTCCGGCTCCGGCCTCAGGTCTAAGCTGTAGTACTGTAGTACACTTCAGAAGAAGTACATGCACTTTGAGCGGACAGTCCTCGCAGGTGGGAAGGCTTGGCTTGGGAACTGTCCAGGAATTCATTGTCCCTTTTCGCAGGCCTTCGGAAGCACAATCGTCATCAACCCCGAGAAGGACAAGACGATGGTCCAGGAGCTGTTGGATTTCAAAGACAAGGTGGATCACATCATCGACATCTGCTTCCTGAAGAATGAGAAGTTTGTCAACGCCATGAAGGAAGCATTTGAAACCTTTATCAATAAGAGGCCCAACAAACCAGCTGAGCTTATCGGTAGGTCTTGGTCTCGGTTTGCTTAGGTGGAAACTGCAAAACAGTCCTTTGAATTTGCTGCAGTTTAATTTTCCGTTTTACAGCTAAATATGTGGATTCGAAGCTCCGAGCGGGAAACAAGGAGGCTACAGACGAGGAATTGGAAAAAATGTTGGACAAAATAATGATCATCTTCAGGTTCATTTATGGTAACGTCTTCAAGCTCTAGGTGTTTCTAATAACACTTTTTTCAGTACAGCCAGAATTATAATTTTTATTAAATGAAGTGCTTTGTAGAGTAATCTTTTCCTTAGATAACCTTAGATTATTTTGGTTTCCCAGGGGTAAGAACATATTCCTGGATTATCTCCATTCATCATTTCATTGATTTTGTTTTTTTGTTATAGACCGTTATTGTTTTTATTATTAATATTTCTGAGCATCCCGTTTCTTTCCAGGCAAAGACGTATTTGAGGCCTTCTACAAGAAGGACCTAGCGAAGCGCTTGCTGGTGGGGAAGAGTGCTTCTGTGGACGCGGAGAAGTCCATGCTGTCCAAGCTCAAACACGGTCAGTCGCACCCGTCTTCCTGGGTGCTGGTTAGGCCCCGCGTGCGGGCGGGCTTTCTGCAATCCCACCCACCAAGAGAGACTTGCGCGGCAATGGCAGTGAGCCAGAGAGGGTTTAGGGTCGGTCTGCTTCTCGGCGCGGTGTCTGTTGGTTCATCTGAAATCGAAATCTCTGTGAAACTGATGCTCTTCCCTGTCTCGCCTTTCTGAATGCGTTTTTGTTTTTTCCCCCCTCCACCAGAGTGCGGCGCTGCCTTCACCAGTAAACTGGAAGGGATGTTCAAGGACATGGAACTTTCGAAGGACATCATGGTGCAGTTCAAGCAGGTAATCCTGCTCTGGCAGCCTCGTCCTCGCGGGTCCCTGAGCCACGTGGAACCGAGCTGATCTGTAGTGCGTTTATTCCGTCTCGTTTGTCGTTCTGCAAGACCCCCTCAGCGCAGGACTGGGTGACAGTTTTGCTTTTCAGGAGGCTTTTTCCTTTTTCCGATATTTTAGTTTAAATGGGTAGTTTTCCATCTTCAAGAGGTTAATCATTTCGGTATTCCTACATAGAACGTTGTTCATTAGCGCGATCATTTGTAAGAGAACACGTCACAATGCTAATTTCAGAATTCGAAAGTTAGTCCACGTGGTTGCGCGATGTGTTTGTTTTATATTTTCATAGATATTTCTTTCTTTTCCTCAACAGTATATGCAATGTCAAAACATACCTGGTAACATTGAACTGACAGTGAATATTTTAACAATGGGCTATTGGCCAACCTACGTGCCTATGGAAGTTCACCTGCCCCCAGAGGTCAGTGCTGATGGTGACTATCTGTCAAACGTTTATTATTGGGGTTTTTTGGAATCTCCGTTTCTATCTTACGCCGATCCAGTCTGAAAGTGGTTCCACAGCCGAGCTGTTGCATCTTGAGCTCCTGTGCTGCGTGGGGAGAACAAAGCCAGCGGACACTCCCCACTGCCCTAGCCACGCGGCAGACCCACTTGTCTTTCTCGCACACTGCTGGCTCCTTGGACCCTCGGCAGGAGGGGTTATGCCGTCGGCGGGCCGGTGCGTTGACTCCACTGCGAGCTGGTGGGCAGATCGGAGGCTGGTGGAGCTCGGCCGCGCGGGCTCCCTCGTCAGTTCGTGTGAATTTCTTCACCCTTCCGTTTGCGAGTGTACCAGGCATCTGCCCGCGCAGGGGCTCCCTCTCTAGAGGGCGAGCAGCTCGACGAGTCACTGTGTGGACCGCGTGTCGGTAACGGCGTCCTCTCCTTTCTCTCTAGATGGTCAAACTGCAGGAGATCTTTAAGACATTTTACCTTGGGAAGCACAGCGGGAGGAAACTTCAGTGGCAGTCCACATTAGGACACTGTGTACTAAAAGCTGAATTTAAGGAGGTAATCCTCTTAATTACCATAACGGAGTGAGCATTGAGAATCTGCTGAATGTCCTACAGTCAAATTCCAGAAATCAATTCTTCTGTAGACTTTTCTGTTAACGTCTGGTACGGTGCAGTGGTGAGATTTGAGCCTGTACAGTATGTGTTCTGTAAAACCAGCTGAAGCCTGGCTTGGTTAATCGGTTCTTCAGCTGCAGCTCAGACTCTTTATTTCTAATCATTCTGCGGTTTTTGTTTTGTTTCTTCCTCCCCCATCCCCAGGGTAAAAAAGAGCTGCAGGTTTCACTGTTCCAGACGTTGGTGTTACTTATGTTCAACGAAGGAGAGGAGTTCAGTTTGGAAGATATTAAGCAGGCAACTGGAATAGGTTTGTAATGTTTTTTTTTTCAGCTGTGCGAGGGGATTGCAGCCAAACTTTGCTTTTTCCTCCTTTTTTTCCATTACAAAAATGGAATTGGTGTGAACCGTATCCAATTTCCTAGGATAAAACGGCTTCAGTTTGGCATGAAAATAAGCTCCTTTATTTTCTACTTTGTGTCACATTGTGAGGTTCATAATAAAGAGTAGGAAAGACCTTTGGACTCAGATTGGGAGCTGACAGTCATAAGTAGTCGAAATGAGTGGAATTGTCTACAAAAGTGTTTTACTATCCAGTACACCATGAAAAAGAATCTACAGCAGCCTTGTGATCTGGAGATGATTGATTCACCTGCTAACTGTAGCATTGTCACTGTTTTATTGGCTGGAGAAGTGTAGTGTGTTAACCTAGGTATTTCCAAAGGGCTTTCTGTCCTTTGACAGAGTTTCCTTGTGAAAATGGTAGGTTTGTATGAAGCTGTGACCCTGAATGTTTGAAGAAGCAGGTTATTCTCTCGGCTTTGTTTTTGCCTGTAGGTAGACGTTTCCCAAGTAATTTCTGTAAGCAAATATGAAAAGGGGCAAATAGGTTTTACTGCCCAAGAAAAGCCCGTGCAACCACCTAAAATACAGGTCACAAACGCATTTGCTTGTGAGCGCTCTTGGCCAGGGTACTCGATCTCCGTTCCTGGAGGGCCTCGCGTGTTTCCTGGTGATTTTCTCTTCTTCTCGGAGTGTTCAAAGAGCTGCGTCCCCCACGGTCTCTGCTCGCGGCTCTCCGAGAGCCGGGTTTCAGTCGGGCCGCGGCCGCTGCGGGGAGGTTCTCTCTCTCCCAGAGTCTGCGAACCGAATGCCAAGAATTGTGTTGCGTCCCGCGCAGAGGACAGCGAGCTGCGGCGGACACTGCAGTCCCTGGCCTGCGGCAAGGCCAGAGTCCTCACCAAGACCCCCAAGAGCAAGGACGTGGAGGACGGAGACAAGTTCACCTGCAACGACGACTTCAGGCACAAGCTCTTCCGGATAAAGATCAACCAGATCCAGATGAAAGAGACGGTACGCGGTTTCACGGGCCCGTGAGGGAAAAGGAAGCAGCGCTGAACTGACGGACGCGTCTGCTGTTTACAGGGATTTGTTTTCCCTTCCGAGTAGCTCATTCAACGGCTGTAGTCACGTTGATGCTAATTACGTGAAGAAGCCAATCACTTTATGATTAGTAATATATGTTATTTCAAACATTTAGTCATGTTTTTCATCTCCACTCTATAACCCTCACAATTACTGCGAAAAAAAAATATTAGCAATTTTTTATTTAAAAGTCCTGTTTTCCAAGATTTTCTTTTACCAGTAATCCTTTTTTGAGAACGTTCGTGTGATAAAATGCTAATTTGGAGCATTGGAACGTTTTTTAAAAATCACAGAGTTGTTATTGGAGGCATATGGAAAAAGCAATACAGTTATTGGTGTTATTTATTTGTTGTTAGGTGGAGGAACAAGCCAGCACTACAGAGAGAGTATTCCAGGACCGGCAGTACCAGATCGATGCTGCTATCGTCAGGATAATGAAGATGAGGAAGACCCTGAGCCACAACCTACTGGTGTCAGAGGTGTATAACCAGCTCAAATTCCCAGTCAAGGTTAGTATGCTGCCATAATGTAGTAATTTTCTCCCTTTTCCTTAAATTGTAGTAAAAACCTCTACTTAACTGCAGACTTTTTAATGACTGTTTGTTTATGCGAATGCTGTTGGTCAGTCTGTGATACTGCACTAGTTGTTGTTTTTTTACCAAAACAGAGCCTTGAATGATATAGTGCTGTAGGCGCCAGTATTGTCACCCTTTATCTGAAGCGTTTATTGCAGTGCAGTATATCAGACTTGTTGAAGCATGTGGCACGGCTGCAGAGCCAAGTCGTACAGAATCAGCAGTTCCAAAGAGAAAGTCTCAAATCTAAACAGGAGGAAGAAAGCCGATTAGAGTATTGCTCTGCACCTCGCTAATCTCCTTCGCCTCCGTTTTTTTCAGCCGGCTGACTTGAAGAAGAGAATAGAGTCGCTAATTGACAGGGACTATATGGAACGTGACAAGGAGAACCCCAACCAGTACAACTACGTGGCGTAGAGGAGATTTCGCGCGCTGTCAGCTGCTCTGAGCACTTGGCCTCGTATCCCAGGCTCCAGTGGACGTCACTATCACCCTGTTGAACCCAGCGACCGACAACAGAATGGATGTGGCCCCTGTTAAACACAACGTGCTCTGGGGACTGTTTTCCTGCGGACTGCATGCCCATTAAAGAGAATATTATCCATTTTCAGAATGCTGGTCAATGAGAAGCAAAGGTCACCGTGGATAACGAGACAAAACATGGGGTTTGGATGAGTATATTAAATTGCTTTTATAAAAGAAAACAGTATTTATTTTGAAACCTACATTTTGTCCATTATATGTTTATGGCATCCTAGTTCTTTTTTTTTTCCTTTTTTAAATCACTTTTTACTTTTCTTTCGCTGTGTTTGCCCCATGCAGGAGACTTTCGACACAGATTCTGTATGAAAGCCCAGTAAACTAAAGCCTGTTGGTTCAGCCAGCACAGTTTTAGGTACCCGTTTGTAGTCGGGCAGACAGATGCTGACAAAGCAATTTCATTCTACCGTTTTTTACCCTTTTCTCGCCAAGTCCATACGTTTTCCAGAGCAGAATGATTTTTCCTTTTTCAGATCTTAGTTTTGACTGCAAAGAATTCTGAAGATCACTGCATTTTTTCAGTACAGTCACAAGAGCAAGAGAAGAAATTGTAGTTAAAGAGGATAAACTATTTCGAAGAGTAAGGTGCCAAAAAAGACAGCACTTCACCTGTATTGGATTTTTTTGATGCTGCTAAACATGGTTACTTATTCATGCATATTAAAACTTTTTTTGGATGTTGGATTTCCATTTCGACATTTTAAAGTTTTTGTGTGTATATGCAAAACTGTCTAGAAGTTGTTCTTTTTTCTGAGATTTAAAGAACAAAGTACGACCCGAACTCTGCATTTACAAAAACAGGTCTGTTTTAAATATAAGAGCTGTTAAAAAAGTTAAAGTATATGTGCTTTTCCTCATTAATGTTCACGTGTGTTTTTTTTGCCTAAACGCTGTTCATTACCCAGGGCTGTATTTAAAAGTCCTTATCTTTATTATTTCACAGATTCTTTGGGATTTTAGAATTATAACACTGATAGTGCAGTTTAGTCCCACAGGGTTCTATAGGCTGAATAAAGTGCTCACTGCAGTCCACTGTATGTTAGCAAGTGGACTGATAGAACCATTTATTTGTGATAGCTGTGAGGTTACTGGTGTACAATATGCAGGACCTGACTGCTGTCTACATTTGAGTTCATTAATATATTTTTTTTATTGCTACAACAGATTAAACAACAAAAGCGTTCAAATATTTTGTTTTGTTTTATTCTTAATTGTGTATTCCCGGAACCCAAGTCTGTAAAAGCAGAAAGATCTGTTTTTTTTTGTTTGTCCAAAGCAGATTGCCTGATTCTGACTTCAGGTTATTTTTTAAGCTTTTGAAACTTGCTGTTAGCTGTAGGTTGTTACAGTTTTCAAGGCACACTCAGCGGCTTTATGAGCTGCTCCTTTTGTGCTGATGCGAAAAGACCTGTGTGATGTCCAGATGTTTAGACTCTGCATTGTCATTTTGCAGTGGCTCTTTGCTGGAGTTTCTTCAATTGAACTTGACTCTTAAGCTTTGGTTTTCAAAAGTGAAAGAAAATTGCCCTGTTTGAATTATGCGTGTCACCATTAGGAAGCAGAACTGCTAAAATTACTGCTACAGCCCATAGGAAGTGTAATGCAATCTTTTGACTGCTGTTGCAAAAGTGCATGCCTTCAGATCACAAGAGCAAGAAGAGCCGAGCGTTGAACCAGATGAGGATGTGACACATTGCTCTATTTACTGAACAGAAGTTCTTTAAACTTCAGATCTCTTGCTTTGTTTCTATAAATATAGTGAAGAAAATCATTGTTAAGGAAGGATTCATGTGTTTTAATCTGTGTTTTTTTGGGGGGGATGTTATTACTTGGTTGTTTGAGTACATTTGAAGTGGTTCCCAATTTAATTTTGGATCAGTAGTAGCAATAAAAATTCTAAATAGGTTTTCAGAATAAGTGCAGAGGCCAGTTATGATGCATCCGTTATATCCTTTTCACATTTAGTCTCTGGAGGAAAAGGTATAGCAAAAACTTATTCTTGGAAGTTCAGTGGTTTACCCATGCCATTTGGTAGCTAAGATTTGTTAATCTGTGTTTTGTTCAGGACGCAAAAGTCTCTTTAATTCTAAAGTCGTGACAAGTTTCTGTTTATAAAATCTCAGGAAAACCAAAAACTTTACGCAAGTTATTCATCATTCCTTGGCAGTAAAGACACCTTCAATACTGTGTGTTGTGTCTCATTGGATAATGTAACTGTGAATATACGTGGGTGAAAAGATCAGACTGTCCTAGTGTTAAAATACTATGTAACTTGGTCGCGGTTGCATTTTTGCTAGCACTACTAATGATTTACACGTTAGACTCCGGATATCCCAAGATTTCTTTTACTGAAGCTGTGGTAAGGCAGGTTATATCTTCAGAATGTGATCACTACTTTACCTTTGGACAATTTATAAAAAATCTCCCCTGCAAGTTGAATTTGTAGTGTATTTACTGGACCAGGCTTCACCTAAATTTTAGACACTAAGAATACTCTCTATAGAACTTGAATTTCCAGCAATCTAGGAATGCATGGTTCTTCCCAGAGCTGTCCTGCATCTCAGATTCCGCAGCTGTAAACAAAGATGGTGCCAAAAACATCACACAGAAAAGGTAGCTTGTGGATATGCAAAACGCGTATGTCGGAGAAATATCCTGGAAGACTTCTGTGCGTTCTTTTAACGAGAGACCCGTGCCAAGACAACACAGAACACTTGAGGAAAACGCATCGCACAGATACAGTCCTTCCCGAAACGCCAGCAGCAAGCCTTTGAGTGAAGAGATGCTTGCATATAAATCCACCAGAAAAGATGGACTGTGTATTCTCTAGATTTTAACAATTGGGTTAGATGCCATAAAGCAGAAATAAAGGTTTTGAAGAGCACTGTTGATAGAGCTGCTTGTGATCTTCAGACATTCCTTCTGCATTCTAGAAATCACCATCCTCCTAGCCATTACTGAAAATGGGCACTGTATTTCAGTTTCTGCAAAGCTAGGGCCTCTTCAAAGTTGGAAATGTTTTGTCATTTGGATCCCACTTGTTTTATTTTTAAAGCTGCACATTTTAAAGTGATGCTTAAAAAAAACAGACTAAAATGAAATGGGCATGTGACAGTCTACATCTTTACTATAAAAGCCGTAAAACCTTTTTAATACTTAAAAAATGGGTGTCAAGGGTATGTTATATACTGTAAATAGATGTTCCCTTGAAAGAAAAGAGTGAGAGTCTGTATTCTAGTTTTTTGTGTCATTCAATAAATATTTGAAAAATTACGTTTTCCTGTTTTTGTTACATACTGTACATTTAAAGAAGAATTTTAGCTTTTTTTTTTACCTCCCGAAGAGCATCGAGTCCACACCAGGTACCAAGGGGCTGGAGCAGTTCGTGCTCTTCTGTGCATTTTCTTTCCTGATTGCACCTGCTTCTTATTTGGGGTGTCCATCCACCTCGGCCACCTCTTTCACAACCAGAGAAAAAAGGTTAAACAAGCTGAACGCTCAAAAGAAAGAGATGCTGGATTTAAATATGTATGCACTCGCTATCCAAAATATCAGCATCCCCAGCCCAACACCTCCTGGACAGCTGGATACTGTCACTGTGCCAGGTGGTGCATAGTTCAGTCAAGCAGCAGTGTTCAAGAGCCAGCAGCCATATCGCCCTGCAGCTCACAGCTGGCAGCCCACTGCAGCCCAGCAGGTGTGAGCCTGGTCAGTACCTGGATGGAAGAGTCCTGGGAAAAACTAAGGTTTATTGCTGGAAAAGGTGTTAATGAGACTAGTAGGGGGCGCTCACCCTGCAGTTTGTGTGGGTCCTAATGCCCCAGTATAGTGATGAGGACACTACACTGTACAAAGGCCCCGTTCTTTGAATGTGACATAAAACTGAGGTCCTGACTCTGTAGTCATTAAAAATCCCAGGGCGTTTCTCGAAAAGAGTAGGGGTGTAACCCCGGCGTCCTGGCCAAACTCTCCACCCCCTGGCCTTTACCAATCATGGCCTCATAGTAATCCCCCTCTCTGAACTGGCTTCATCACTCTGCTCTCCTCCCCACTGAGAGCTGGTGTGTGGGCAGAGTACTGGCCAGCGCATTTTCCAGGTGGGGCTGCACACTGGTGCTGGTGGAGGGGATCCCCATTCCCTGTAAGGTGCTTTGAGTGCAGTGTCCAGAAAAGCGCTATGTAAGTGTAGGGAATTATTATTTTTAAAAGCCTCCGAGTCCTTTCTGTTAAATTGATCAAAATAATTGTTTATTGAGCTGAGTGTATAAAACCAAAAAGGATGAAATCTAATTTATTTACATGGATCTTATCTAAATGATCATAAGTGGGCATCGTATATTACATTTTACAGTAAATGAGTGTAACCAATTTTTAAATGTTATACCCTAACAAAGCTTTCATGTCATTTCACACTTTAAATGGATTATTTTTAGATTGAAATGGAAACCGAAAAGTTTGAAAATCAAATTAGGTTTAACTTTATTTTTCATAGCACTTTTTAATAAAAATGAAAAATGAGATAAAAAATATTTCAAAATCTAATGGCATATTTAAGGAGAACCAAAAGGTATGTAAATACAAACTAGGCACATGTCAAAGTAATACATAATTATTCAATACTAACAATTAATGAGAATCATTCAGCCCAGAACTCCAAGCTGTAAAAATGTGATGTGTATTTTAAAAACTGACAGATTGATTCTCCCTTATAAATGGTAGTACATGTTTCAACAGTTCAGATACTTTAATATCTTTCTCAACACGTTCTGGACAGTGACAGTGACTGTATTCCGTGACCTAAGATACACGTGGGGTTAGTGTGTATTTCTGTGTTTGTGGATTCACAGTCACGTAGAACTTTGTATTTCCTTCAGGAAACCAAACATTCTGCATGAAAAAGGTTATGGCCTCTTATGGAAGCTATAATTCAAACAGAATTACGATACTGACTTTTAGGGCAGCATGATGACTTGGCAGTTTGCTTCTGCCTCACAGCTCTTGTGTTCTGGGTTGGATGTCAGTCTGTGGCTCTTTCTCTGGTGCTCCAGATTCCTCCCACGGTCCAACGACATACTGGCTGGGTTAACTGACTCCTCTGAATTGTTCCCTGTGTGTGTCCAGCGATGGGCTGGCATAAGAGATAAGATAAGATCACTTTATTAGCCCTATACAATTTCTTGTATTAGGAATTTGTCTTTTCACACACCCCAGCTTGATCTCCATGAGACACATAGACACACACACAGGAAGATATATTTGGGGTCAGAGCGCAGGGTCAGCCATTTATATGGCACCCCTGGAGCAGTTGGGGTTAAGGACCTTGCTCAGGGGCCCAACAGAGTAGGATTCCTCTGCCAGCCATGGGATTCAAACCGGCAACCTTCCAGCCACAGGCACAGATCCTTAGCCACAGAGCCACTGCAATGCCACCACCCTTTTTATAAGAAAAGCCCGAGATGTGCCGGCCTTGTGCTCACTGTCTGCCAGGCTCTGGCTCACCAAGGCCCTGCACTGGACTGGACTGGACAATCATTGAAAACGGACCTTGTAGAGAAACTGTGGATTCTAATAACATCCTGAACAAAACAGACACTCATTTCAAGTGAGGGCCATGAACGGGACTTCCGAGAGTCTTCTCGAAATTAGAGAACACAAAACGTGGACCTCCTCAAAAGGCCGCAACAGATGTAATTAAGACGTTTAAAGATAAAAGTCTGCAAATGAGAGCCCAGTGTAGCTCGTTCGTTTTCATGAAGACCAAGAACGTCAACAACTGTTTCGACTGGGTCCGGCTTGAAGGAAGATCCGGAGAAACTCCCGATCTAAATGAGAGTGGATGTATGAGGAAACTCACTATTTTTTTCTAACTTATTACTACTTTTCTCACACAGAAAAAAACTTTATCTCAAACTGAGAAAAGTGACCATTGTGCTCCGAGTAACAGTTTTGTGTTAAATAACGACTTTCAATATTCCATTAATGATCTCTAACTTTCGTCATTTTTTCCCTCCGTGTTGCGTGTTTTTATAGTAAGCTCCATAACTTCTGACACAGACCCTCGTACCACCCCGGTTCGTACTTCTCTTACTCCTCCTATGTGATCGAAAAATAGGGGCAGAAAATTAACACTAAAAACAGAAGCGGGCACGCGATTAGATACGATGGCCGTACCAACTTCTGCAATGCAATGGTTTTAATTTTCCTCTGCGGTTTTCCCACGGCGGATGGGGACATAATTGACCGTGATTTAGTTTACAGCGAGGAGCAACAGCGCTTCCCAGTCTATGCCCCGCTGAGGGGGAAGATCTGATTTATTTCAGCACATGGAGCTCGTCAGATGGAGGCACCGTGCCGTGGAGACCCGGAGAAGAGAGATCTTTAACACTGTGAAGTTTTTTTTTCTTCTAAAAAAAAAAAGCCATCTTTCAATAAGGCTATTAACTGCAATCGTCAGGGTATTAATTGCAAGGGCACACGCCTCCCCTCCAGCTCGTGGTTGGTCGGCAGCGAGGGTTCCGCCTTTGAAGGTGTCATATGACTTTCACTTCCTGCTCCGCGTGCGGCTCAGTCACAGACGGGAGCCCAGCCTCGCCATGGACGGCAGCGCTATCCTGGGTTTGTTTCTGATTCTGGGATGTGGTAAGTGTGTTTCCCCCCCCCTTCCCCTCCACCCTCGGCGGGGACTCTTTATTCGCAGGACGATTTCTTTTTGAACAGCGGAGCCTTGACGTCTGTCCTTTCCTGCTGGCAGGCCTAGCCCCCAGCTCCGCAGCCTGGGACTCTCCTTCTCCCTGACGCCGGGGGGTTGGAGCCCCAGAGCCAGCTGCTGATGCCCTCGCGTGTCCCTGCCCCGCCGCCCTGAAATGCGGGAGACCCGTGTCAGTGATCAAATGGTTGTTCTTTTACACGTATGATTTAATAGGTAGTACTATCAGGTAGTCGTCGTTAGGAGTTAGGAGGCTGAATGATCATCTTTGAGTGCATTGAAATGAATGCGGGCTCATCAGTGAGTACGGTAAAACAGATCTGCATGATCTAATCCGCTGAGTAATAAACCGTCATTTTTAATTCTCGGTCCAGTGTTAGAGCTGGGGGTTTTCTACCCTGATGTTGGGCGGAACGCTCTAGGTACGAAGCGGTGTCCCGAATGTAAAGTGATCTCCATCTCCTTTCACGTTAGCGGTCGACGTGGTCGTTACCAGAGTGCATGTAACTTTGCCCCCTTCATCCGTCTCCCCCAGACCTGCTGAATCACGTTTCTCGATAACCAGGATGAGTGTCTGGGCTCCCCTCAGTACAGGGCTCATGGCTTGGTTCTGCGCCGCTATTCAGGAAGTACATCAGAGTGTGTGTTTTATTTTTGCGGTTTTCGAGTACATTCTACCTCGCGTCGCTGTTGGCCGTTTGTTTTGGTTTTTGACCTGGGAGCCCTGATCTCAGCGAGCATGTGATGTGTGTGTGTGTGCGCCAGGTTAGTCATGTGACGGCGGGAGGAGCAGGCAGGTTTCCGAGCGCCACCTGGGCGCCGATCGTCCTGACAGCCTGCTGGTGTCCGCATCCCAGCGCCCGTTTGCAGCGCCGATGAACGTCCGTTCTTCTGTTTTTTCCCCGTTCTTCTGGGGTTTGGCGATTGCCGCGCACAAAAGAGGGCTTCTTGCTGCGGGAGCCGGGGTAATTTCCCGTCCTGGCTCTTGTAGCGCCCCCGCCCAGGGCTGCGCGGCTCGGAGACTTGGCTGGCAGGGCTGAGCCCTCTGTGTGGACTTGGCTGGTGTCCTCACGGTCTGGCGACTGGGGCTGGCCAGCCTCCTAATCTTCTGGGATCATTATTAAAGCCCCAGACAAACTTCCTTTGTTGCAGGGATGCTTAGCTCCGTGTCATCGACATCCACCCCCACCTTGGGGGCTAGCTGTTACACCTGGGGGTCTTTCTCTCCCTGGCGTTGGTTAAAGTGCCGATGGCGTTCCTCAAGCAGCTGCTCTTGCAGGGTTGGGTGTAGATCCGGTGTTTACCGCTGCTCGGTTGGACTCGCAGGTCATGTTTCTGTAAAGATGGGCGATGCCTGTAAGCTGCTGATCGATGAATTGAGCAAGGAATGTGTTTAATTATGACAGCTGAACCTACGTTGTGGTCCCAGTTCTTCAAGTGGCCCGACTGCCTGTAATGAGATTGCTGCAGGTCTCCAGGCAATTGAGTGTTGACCTGCGAGACCTGCTGGACTCGGGCTCACCGGGACAATGCCTGGAGATCAGAACCTGCCCCCCTAGTTGTGTTTTCATGTGTAGGCAGCCAACATCTTTATCATAACCCACATCTCTTTCTCAGCACATGTAGCTACAATGCGTCTGACCTCATGGCTGGATCTTGTGATTCTTCTTTTTTCCTGGAGTGAACTTGCTCTTCTGGTCTTTGTCATGTGGTAGTTGTGAAGGTGCAGTCATAGTTCAGGAGTTCAGACTCGTACCTCATCCTGAAAGTGTTAAATCGTGTATGATACCAGAGCTGTTTAAATTGTTTAAGTGACTTGGTAAAACATTTAAAAGTCATGCATCAGAAATGCTGTACTGTATGTCCACTTCAGTGCCCTTTTACTGACCCAGGCATGGTCAGTTGGGAGATGATCACTGGAATGTTCTGAGTTTGCTTACTTGTTTTACAAGGAAGTGCATTATGTATTCTGGTGGCACAAACATGTCTTGTTTATTTTTTGAAGTATTCCTTACTTGGATTCAACTGTTATTGTGATGCATGGTAGCACCTTGCAGAGTGATCGTGTCGGATCTCAGAAGCTCAGCAAGGCTGTGCAGGGTCAGTATTGGGTTCTGAAAGCCAGGTTGTTAAGTGGAGTTGATGGACCTGTAGGTTGTGCTTTTCCTGCTGCATCAGTTTCTGAAACAGTGGCTAATGATGGTGAAAGGAGACACTGTGCTGTTCTGTGCATAAGATACAAATGGTGTTGTAGACCTCAGTTTTATAACTGTAGAAGTATTAATCCTTGTCCTGGCTAATTTCAACTCCCATTTTGCAAAATATGCACTCCCTAACAGCTCCCTTAATTCAATGAGTGAAGTCCGGCATCTTCTCCGTTCTCTGCCTGGGCTGGGTAATGGGGCTGCTGGCGTATAATAGCTCTTCACGCAGTTGGGTGCTGCACTCCAGCGGTGAGTTGCAGTAAGTGGTTTCCCTCTGATCTCTCAAAAGCTTTGAGCTCTTCGGGATGAAAAGCATGGAATTATCAGTCACAGGCAGTTGTTAAACTCTGCCCTGTACTTGTTATATAGGTGTTGTTCATTATAAACTGAATGGTACTTAGCCACATGCAAATATTTAATCTTTATTGCTGTTCATGCCAAGCAATGTTTACACTTCAAAGTGGGATGTGCAGGAGAAATTTTGAAATCATGTATCTTGTTTTGGCTGTTTGTAATCTTATTTGTGGCTCTGTGATTTGAGTGATGTTGCAAGACTGTGGGAAGGCGGTCAGAATTGTAAGTTCTCTTTAATTGTTATCCACACATGCATGCTAATTGCTGTAAGAGTCGGGGTGTAACTAAAGGAGCGTTGAGAAATGTTTCTGAGTGCAATGGAATCTTTAGCACTCCGGAAGAGCCACCAGCTCTCTATGGGTTTGGTGCATCTGCCCATCGTGGAGGAGGCTGGGGTCAGAATGCCCGAGTTTCACCGCTATGGTGTTACTTCTGTGTGTAATCTTAACCTGTTGCAGAATAGGTGGGGAATTCCTGTCGGCTGGTGGATACAAGCACTTGTGAAACTGTATGACCATTGAGGAGCTGAGGCTGGGCAATACTGCTGTCTGAGAGGCTGATGGTTTTCCTTTATTCCTGATATCCTCTGCGTTCCTTTTGTCTCCACATTGCCTCTGTAAAATATTTGGGGAATTACTGCAGTAAATTTGCTGCACCTGGTATTGATTGCAATATAGTGTCTTCCAGTTTCAGCTGACCCAAAAGCAGCGGCTGTAAAGTATCTCGTCTCCAGTCTATCGGGTCCACCCCTGAGTTCTGTTGCTTTAAGCCGATAGAGGAGATGAAAGAATTCCCCACACGCTCTTCGTAAACTGAACGCTCCTAATACCACAATATTGTTTTTAACTTTTTATTCCAGGAATCCCCCAGTCTCGCACCACAGACGTGACTGTAAAGGATAAAGATGGCAAGATATGCATCTATAACAGCCTGATGGCCAACTTCACTATCGTCTACAAAACAAACACCACTAATTCTGTAAGTGCAGCTCATTGTGTGGAGTTCCTGCATCAAGAGCAGAACTTCATACTAGTAGAGCCATGTGGCTGTGCCAGCTGTTATGGTTACTTGTGATCAAAGATTTCCTATATGCTTGAAGAAGCACCAGTTCTCGGTTAGATGCACTGTTGCCTGGTCTGTTACTTTGATCCTAAAAGGGTCCTTTGGGTTGACGATCAATACCTTTTGAGTTTAAAATCTTAAGTCATTTGTGTTCGAGGCTTTGAGTGGCTGTTCTTGTAGGAGTTGTCACTGGGGAAAAGCCTGGACCACGTTAGTACCTTTCAAACACTATTTTGTTTATACACTCTCATGGGTGTCTGACGCAAACCAAAAGATTCCCAGGACCCTTAAATAAAAAAGGCAGGATGAGAGCCCTGGATCAATAAGGAATCCACATACAGAAGAGGCTGATCTGCCTTCCATCACTTACATCTCAACATTTCTTTAACAGTCCTAGGAATAATTACAAAAGCTTTCTGTATTGAACCCAATGTGGTCATGAGAAGGATTAGTATGAGTCATTTTTCTGGTTGAGGATTTGGTTGAAGGAAACGTATGTAGATCATTCTAAGCAGGCAGACAAGATAAAATTTAAAATATCCTGACTGCGTGTATGCTGTGGCACCTGCATCCATTTCCCATTAAATCTTAAGGATGTTCTTAGGTGAATAGGTAGTCTTTTGTAAGGCTCTCCATGTGTGGCAATGTAAGGTCATGTGTTTGCATGTTTCAGGTGGAAGACTGTGTGTATGAAGAGGCATTAACAATGCTGTTGGTTCCAGTACTCATTTGTGTTTTTAACGCTTCTTTAATTTCCGATTCTTCAGACTGCAACTTTACGTCTGCCAGAGACCGTGGACACGGATGGAAGCTCGTGTGGTACCAACAGCTCTGTGTTGATGATTGGTTTTGGAGAAGGTCATTCCCTCTCTGTAAACTACTCGCTGAGTAATAATTCTTACAGAGCAGAGGTCGAAGTCTTCACCTACAATCTCAGTGATACGAGCAGCTTTCCAAATGCCACTGAAAAGGGTAAGTTTGCCGGTGCTTGTGTGTGACAGATAGTGAATTGGTCCACTCCCAGGTAGGTTCCCTGTTAACATCTCTGTGAATTGTCACATAAGAAAGTGGATCTGAAATGCTTCCATTACAAGTAGCAGTAAATTCCATATAGAAAAGTAGAAATAATACATTCTTGTCCGTGGATTTTTTTTTTCAGGTGTTATTCTTATGCAATGATTTGTATCTTAAAGTATTTAATTGCAGCTAATGAGCAGCAGGAGGTTATCAGCGTTGCAACAAGTTACCCTAAATCCCATGCCCTTATTATAAGCCCTTTTTTTGAGAAAATAGCCAGGTATTCAAAATCGAGCACTAATTGTTTCTGAAATGGAACAGACTCATTTGCAAACGTCGGTGCTTGTGCTTGACGTTTGTTTGTCTTGCATGGTGGCGGCAGGCTTGAAAAGGGTGGAAATCCGTTTGCAACCTTATGACATTCCCGTGGACACCACCTACCGGTGCAGGAGCGACGAGTCCTTTGAGAAGGATGGCATCACGCAGACCTTTTGGAATGTGACCTTGGAGGTGTTCGTACTCAACGGCACTGTCAGCCAGAACGGTGAGTGTGCCGGGCGGAAAATGATTTGCATCCTCGCTAACCTCTGTGGTAATTCTTAGGAGTGTCGGCAACCTGCTGCATGTTGGACTTTTTGTTCCGATACTCTTGCTGCTGCCAAGGTAAATCCCTGCAGCTCTCAAGCTGCTCAAGTCCATAAAAGAGCGTCCAGTCTGTATGTGCAGGTTTGTCTGGGTTCCGTCATTGAACTCTGATGGGGTTTTCGGATTTGTCGTCGCAATATGACGTGAAGAATTCACAAAAGGTCAGACGGTTAGTTTCACTGCTGGTTAGTGCCCAGTTAAGCTGTGTGCCGGGATCTTTTGGGATTTTGGGGGGTAACTGGGTTACTGCATGCTGCTGCAAAAAAATATTTGATGCATGGTGTTGCTGCAGGTATTAATCTTGTGTCCCCCCTCACCCCTAATTGCTAAGACCTCTTTCTTTACAGAGACTGTGTGTCCAGAAGACACCCCCGTGACCCCAACGCCCACCACCGCTCCCACAACTGCCCCCAACACCACCGCTCCCACAACTGCCCCCAACACCACCGCTCACACCACGGCTCCCAATGCCACCACGACTGCAGCCCCCACCACCACCACGCCGGCGCCGCCCCTGCCCCGCCCAGAGAAGCACGCTTACAACATCACCGACGGAAACGGCACAGTCTGTCTCCTGGCCACCATGGGCCTGCAGGTCAACTACACGCTCAATGGAAAGGTATGAGTGAGGACCCCCTGTGGATATTGTCCTCCGACCTGCTGCATGCTTTTACTGCAAAGTGTTTCCTTGGTATCCCCCCCACCCCACAAGACTTCCTTATTTGATCTTAAGCCTGTGAACTTGCAGGGCACAGGATTCCAGGATTTGTCCCACAGGCTTCAGAGCCAGGGATCTTAAATCTGGTTATTGGAAGACCTACGTTGCCTCCTGGTTTTCTGGGAGTACCATACCCAATTCGGTCTGTATTGTTAATCCGTTTAAGCGGAGTAGGGGTGGTACCTTTTCTTCAAGTCCTTAAATGGGCTAGAAGAAAAGGTTTTTTCTGCTGTTCAGGACTTGTTGTTCACCAACCTGTTCTGCAGAATTGGAAGAGAGATGTTATATCCCTAAAAGTTTGTCTACAGTGGAAATATGCAGCCTCTACTTAAGGTTAAATTATTTACTCTGCCTCTAAAGGATTGGTTGCAGGTGAACATTAATCCCAATAAGACTAAAGCTGGCGGGAGGTGCAGTACCGATGGCAGTGAGTCCACCTTGACGCTGGATGACGAAGAGAAGACTGTGGCCTTCAGCTTTAACAAGGTGAGCCAGCAGTGGAGCACGGTGAGGCTGTCCTTCATCTCCTCTCAGGGTCATGATAATGGCCGTGGTCACCGTTTCTGTTGGGACCAGTTCGGCATAAAGGAAATCTTACTGACTTGTCCTCCGGTTCATCTTGGTTCTAACGGAGTTTGTCTGCGTTTTTACAGAGCAATTCCAAGAAATTTGTCCTGCAGGGAGTGTCCGTAAAACTAAGTTTAAACGGCTCAAGTAAGTGAGACTCTTGCCTTAATGGGTATGGTTTTTACATTTTCCTAACGTACTCTTAAGATGGGGGTGGGGGGGACTAAATAGACAATAGTTTATCCACTAAGAAATGAATGCATGACTTAAGTGGCAATTTTGATGCAGAAATTATATTGTTTCGAATGTGTGAATAGGATAGTCCTTTACTAAAAAGGAAAATCTTCTGAAACTTTCGGCCCTTTATCCTTCTAGCTGTAACCAACCTGGGCAATTTCTGCTCTCCTGTAGGTATTTTCAACAGCAGCAACAGCTCCCTGGGTTACTGGGAGGCATCTCTCGGCAGCTCCTACATGTGCAACAAGCAGCAGACCTACAGTATCGCCAGGGACCTCTCCATCACCACCTTGGAGCTCAGAGTGCAGCCTTTTGATGTGAAAGCTGGGAAGTTTTCTACAGGTAAGTTGGGCTTACCCCTGTGAGTATTGTCACTTGAGTATGTCTTTATATGACTTCTGATTAGGTTTGAGCAGTGTGCGCTAGAGACCCGGTAACCTCCTTTTATAAGTAGTTTTGTTGGATCTGTGCAGTGCTTGACATGGATTACATTTATTATTAGACCATTTGAGACTTGCTTCTTTTTTGATTTTATCTATATATAAAGCATGAATGATCATGGCAAACTCGCCAGCTCTCTCCTCCACTCTGGATGAATCGCATTAATAAAAGCCCCATCGGCACCTTTTCCAAATCCAGACGTGTGTTTAGCAGCGATTTTTTTTTTTTTTAATCTATTGCTTTTCATTTTTAATTTTAAAGTCGTCTATTTTTTCTTTTTGTCTGCAGCTCAGGAATGCTCAGTGGATGACACCAGCATTCTAATCCCAATTATTGTTGGCGCTGCTCTGGCAGGCTTGATTCTCATTGTAGTGATTGCATATGTGATTGGTAGAAGAAAGACCTACGTTGGATATCAGACCCTCTAAAACAATCATTTGCAGTTAACTTAATGGATTGATGCTGAATTTTTTTTTCTTCTTTCCAGGGGCAAGTGCAAGTTCCGTTTTGGTCCTGTAATACATTTAAAATCTTGCGCACATACCAGATCTGAGCCTGGGTGACTGAAGTCAGTCCACAGGGCATGCTTTTAAAGGGCTGTGTAGCACCGGCCATGAGACGGACTGTGGTGGGAGAAATGAGCAGTGCCACCTGGCGCTCTGGCGTGGTTACAGCACCTTGTGTGTGAGCTATGGTGCAGCAGTGACTGCTTGCAGCTTACTGTGGTCCTACTTGGCAAAAAATTATCTAAGGCTGCCAGAGAACCTGGGACTTCAGGCTTGTTTTCCCAAACTTCAGAAACTGTTTTCCCAAAGGCAGGGGGGGTGATGCTCTGTTTCAGCTGAGACGTTGAAATGTGGCTTCCCCCCCTTTCTGAGCCCCGGTGCCTGGAAAAAGGTTTGCTGCTCACCTTAACTTTTTCCACTGGTTTTCCTTGCGCAGGCAGTGGTAGTCCGATATCTGATGGTCTGGTCTTGTTTTAAGTGGCTTTCCTTAACATTATGCAGAATGAAACTGAACCTGCACTTGCTTCCTCCATATGGCATTCCCTGTGTTGTGTTCATGTAATTTTATCGGTGTAGTCTCAGGCGCAACTATTGGCACACTTCCATCTGCTCCAATGTCATTCACTCATTTACCCAGTGTAAGAGCACTGTACCTCATTTCTCTAGGTTGATTGGACTCTTCTCTGTCCTCTCACACTAGCCAAAGCTTACTGGTGGATTAAGCAATTCGGTACTCCCACACTCTTCTGTGGAGTGTTTGTTTAGCCCATTAGACATCTTGGCCATCTCTAGGATGAAGATGCTTAGTAAACGTGTATTGTCTCAGCTTTGCACTTCATCACTTGGTGAAGAACATTGCTGTGTATGGAGTGTCAGATACTTTAGTCTGCGACCACAAAGCTCAACCTTTGTTCTGAGTTTGCCTTACCTACATCTGAAGCAGGAATGTTTGTCAAGGAATTTGCAAAAGTGCCGTTCCCTAATTCTCCCTGTTCCCTGTGAAAGACTCTTGAGCATTCTTTCACACTGGTCCTCTGTAACGGATTCTGTAACCGTGGCAGGGCTGTAGCCTCAATACATACTGCTCTGCCTGTTGTGCTTAGTTACTCCTCGTCTTCTTGACATTAGCTGCCGAATCCCACTGGATGTCACCAGGGATGTTAGTTTTCTCAATACTTTAGTTGAAACTTGTTTTTAAATCAGTTTGGGGGTCCGTCCCCCCCCCGCCACAGACTAAGTCTCTTGTGTTTGTTAATCCACCTTATGCTATCCTGTTAGCGTTCCACACAAAATCCTGTTCACCAACATTCGTGTATTTCAAGACATACCTTTATCGAAGTGGAATAAAAGTGCGCCTGCACTGACAAACTTCAAAACAAAGGTTGAGCAGTAGCTTTTAAAAACAATTTACAGTCTCTTGGCATTAGGTTGAAAAAGGGATAGTCCTATAGAATATGTAGGAAATATTTGTGTTCATGTAGCTGATTGTTTAAACTGCTTTTATTTGCACTTTGCTATAACAATCAATTTTTGCATTTCCGTAAACTGGCTGCTTTGATACATTTGTCAACGATTACTGTGCTGTTTAGCTGTGACTTGCTCAGTACCTTAACATACCAGTGTATCGGGGATCAGGAAAGGATTAATTTCATGGCCAAAACATCTGCACGTAAATGTATTTTGGGCTGTGTCATTTTTTTGTAAAATCAATTGCATGCTAAATATCAGATCTCCTAGTATTAACCATCTGAATCAATACAGCTTTTAACCACTTTAAAGTTCAGTTGATTTGCCTGTACAGTAACCTAGTTTATTGCACCAAAACTTTAATTTGACCCTTTTCTAAATCAAGACTGCAAGATTGCCATAGAAGCCACAGTATTTTATCTCAATATACCACTTGCTGTTCATCCACAGTAACTTGCAGCCATCCTGCTACTCATTACACTTGATAGTTTATTGAACAGCACACCCAAATAAGAGGTGAATTTATGAATTGCTTGTATCTGAAATTGTTTTCCAAATGCACTTTTTTGTTTCTCCAAAGAAATTAATAGTAGCGCAGAATCGTTCTGGGGGTGTGGGCTGGTATTCCTGGTGGGACGTGTCCTTTTTTTAGATAAAATAGCCTTATACCTGTATTAATAATACTTTATTAATCCCGTAGGGAAATTTCATCAATTTCCCTACGGGATTAATGAAGTATTATCTATCTATACAGACTTAACAATCTCTCATGCACTTTGGGTCGATCTGTAAAATGTTTAAAAAGTTCATGCACACCTAGTTCTTTTGTAAGAGCTCAGTGCTACGCATCTTGGTATGCAGTTTCTTAAGATATGTTTGGTTGTCCCTGTGTTTGTGGTGTACATTATGCAAGTCTTTTTTTTTTCTCACCCCTGCAACATTGGCAAGGTGGTTAAGGAAAGAAGCTCAGTGCTGTAACAGCAAGACGTGTGTGCTTGGCTGTGAAGGTCTAAAAGATGATGCAGAAGATGTAACTGGAGCTCCTCTGAAACATTCCTTTAGAGTTGGGAATGAGATTTTAGAAGATGGTTAGACTGTTAAATGTCACTGTATAAAAAGTGTCAACCACACCTCAGATATTCAATTTAACGCCACATTTCAAGTGCTTCCTCTTGCAGTTAATGTTTTTGGATTGATTGTTTGTGTAACTTGTATATTCATGGCTTTTTCTTGCCTAGCTGAGGAATGCTCATCTGATAAGCACGACGGCTTCATTGTGCCCATAGTGGTCGGAGTGGCGCTTGGAGTTCTGGTTCTTGTTGTACTGGTGGCGTATTTTGTCGGACGGAGGAAAAACCCGGCGGGGGGATATGAATCGTTCTAGAAAGGTGACCTTTCTGTGGAAGCTGAAGGCCTGAAATTTAAGCAGAATCTCACTCCATTGTTCTGCAGTGGCTGTTGGCTTTAGTGTTGATGATCCTTATAAAAAGCCACTACGTAAAGTTTTTTTTTTTTGCTGTATTTTATGTAAATTCAGATGTCTAAATGCATCTACACCTAAAAATTTAGTTTTTGCCACCTGCGCACTTGTCACAAAACGGAAGTAGGAAAATTCCTGAATTTGCATGGAAGTGCTACTTTTTTTTTACTGCTATTAAATGCTGAAAGCTGATAGGATATAAAAATTTTACAATTAACCACAAATAATCTTTGAATTTGCTGCTGTCTTTAATTTGTTCCTCCTTCCCCAAACTGCAGTTACTTTTTAGCTCTGTTCTGTCCCTTAATGTGGTTCCATACCTGTTTGTATAAGCTGGTGTAAAAATACCAGAAATGTTTCTCTTGATTTGTCTTTGGGAACGTTAGCATTTGTCTCGTGTTGAAATGACGCAATAAAATACTTTTCTACATGTTGGTGTGCGAGTGGCTTTCCCATCACCCCCCCCAGAGTGATCCTTCCTACAGAAGAAGGAAACCAATCCTGCTTCCCAGCACAGGTGTCCATGGATCCTTGTTTTTCCAACAGGATCACCATTGCATGCCTTTTAAAAGTATGGATGTGATGCATGCCCTAAAGGATTTTAAAAAAAAAATATTTTCCCCAACAGGATAAAAAGTAGTGATGAACTTAGTTACTGGGAACGTTCCTGTGAATACCTTGCTGGGAGCTTTTCCGTTCACGTTCCAGTTTCTCCTCCTTTTCAGGATGCTGCTTCTGTGCCGCACCACTGATTTATTCCGTTTCGGGTTCCAAGCCTTTGGCATTTAACATGGAATTTCTGCTCCTCTCTCTCCCTCTCTCTTCCCCACGACAGCGGAAGAGTGTTTCCTGGACACTGACCTGAGCTTTCTTGTGCCTGTCGCTGTCGGGGTGGCTTTGGGCTTCCTAATCATCCTCGTGCTTATCTCTTACCTGATTGGACGGAGGAAGAGCCGCACGGGCTACCAATCAGTATAGCGCCCTGTCCGCCGTGGCCTGTACTACTGTTGCTGCTGCTTTCAATGCTAACCCTTAGCGTCTCACTCCTTACGAACTTGGAAGCTTGTTGGCTTCTTGGGGTTTGTGCTGTTCAAGAGCAGTTTCATGTTGGTTGCTCGTGTGGCATGATTCTCCCACTGTGGTTTTCGTGTGCTGTGGGTTTGAGGGGTGGGGGGGGTACGGATGGAGAAGGCGCCTCCCTGTTTGGGTTTCACCCCGTTTTTCCACATGCGCTGTACTTCTAGTAATCCTGGCTTGTCGCAAGACTCTTGTCATGTTTTAGTAATACAGTATCAAAGATGCCTTGATTACAGTATGTCGTAAAAGAAGCTTTAAGGGCTGAGGAGTGCATGCTAGAACACAAGAAGAATTAGCATACCATTGCATGTATTTCTTTTTATTTGGAATACATTCATGAAGGAAGACAATCTATCAGTTGTATGCATTGTAAAGTTGGTTACTATTTTTTGTGATTTGTATAAAACAAACTTAGTGAAATTCTGTTTGTGGTTATTGGTAGTTTTAAAGAGAAAGCAGTATCTGCACAGTCTATTCTGCATTGTTGTAAGTCAGAATTTGGGTGTCCAGCTTAAAGCCACTCTAAACATAATACTAACTCCTGTGGCTTTCAGCTGTAAAATCCTTGCATTTGGGGAAAACTACTTACTGGTAATACACAGGAGTCATGTTCCTGCAGGGATGGAGAAACAGCTCATGGTGTTTTGGTTATCTGGCCTTGATGGAGGCAACCCACACAAACATAACACCACTGCTGCAACTGTGAAACTGCTCTTATGAAACACTGGTCCACTTAAATATCCCTCAGAAACTGTTCTGTAAAGTTCTGTGCTGTATTACAGCCTTGTATAAAATGAGTGATTTTTTTTTTT